CTGCCCAAACCCCCAGCAAAACAGACAAAACAAATCAACACGAGGCATCGGCTGAGCTCCGGTCCCCGAGCTTCTCCCAACAACGGCGGCCGTGGAAAAGCTGCGTCTTGTCCTTGGCCTCAGTCGACTCGACTCGCGAAGTCGGGTGGGGAATGGTGGTGTTGGAATATGAACCCTTCGGGGAGTCCAGAAAATGTGAAATGGAATGAACTTTTCGGGGAGTTTCAAAAAAAAGAAGAGGGGGAAACCAGTTGCCAGTTGGATGGTTATTTTTCTTGGGGTCATTCCAATTCTCATTCCAGGCCAACAGCGCCAGCAAGTCGAATATAGCTTCCCTCTTGGAGCCTGGTGGGTTGGAGGTTGTGGGGATGGGGGGTTCCCATTTATACCCTCTAAAAGAATCCGGGGTTCAAATCGCCGGTCTGTTGCGATCAACAAAAACCGTCACATGAAAACGCAAAAGCGAGTGGGGAAATTGATCGAATGAAACCAACGGAAGATACCCAAATAGAGCGAACAACTCAGAGATGGGACATGCTGCCAAAAACACACACATCCAGTTTGATTGGGACTGGGGCCCTCAATGGGACAAGATCCGAACTAAGGAAGCTTGACACTTACGCTTTCAAGGCGGATGTTCTCAGAGAGATCCAACGACAACCCAACCTGGAAAAAGGGCTTGTTTCTTCGGGTTGACATATAGGTGGCTCGCCTTTTTGAAGGTGGCATTGGTTGGGTGGGTGCAAAGAAAACCTCAGGGAAACCACTCATTCTGCGGGGTGCCCTATTTTCAGACACAATCCATGCATTTAGAATTACCAGAGCCCTTGCTACAAACAAATTGCGTCTAAACGGGCCGCCACTGTTGCTTCCCGAACAGCTCACACCACAGAAAAAGACATTGTTTTCTGCAGCCCCTGTGTATCCTGGACCTCCATCAATGAGATTTTGGTTTGTCATCCCGCCCATCGGGAGAAAGCCCGACGAAACCCAAACAATTGCACCTCCTACAAGAAGGCATCGCCATGACGCCTTTTCTCTTGTTCTCAACAGCGACTCGCTATGGGGTCTTAGCCACTCCTTTAGGGGAGTCGGGGGTCTTGCCACTTTTCGGGCCACCCCTAGATGCAAGCAAAGTGAGAAACACACTCACGGCTGCAGGGAAAATGCCACACACACACACACACAAGTATGGGACTTTGGAAAACGCGCCGTCCTGACCAAGAAGCACCGTTGCGGGTGAACTTCGCGATGCGTGCTACGTGCCAAAGGACCTAAAGGCTTAGGCCTCACCGTTGTCCCCACCAAGCCGAACATCTACGCAACTTGCTTCCTGCAGTTGTATACAGTCCCAAAAACCCGCCTGATAGCATCCAGAGAGAAGAAACGCCCACTATCAAAGTGGCTAATTTGTAACTTCTGTGGGCCCTAGGCAGGAAAGACCCTGCGAGTCACCACTGCTTCGTAGGTAACCAACCACTTTCCTCTTGACTTTGGGGTGGTTCGCTGGTTACCTATACGACCATGGGTCAAAAGCCCGTACCCCCAGTGAACCTCCCAATCCCCACTAAAATAGACTAAAATGGGTGGTGCACCTACCCCAAAATTGGATCCCATTGGTTTTGACCCACAGCCATACAGGTAACTGGATCGCACAACCCAAATCGGGCCGCAGGGCGACCCGAGGCCGCGGCCACGTAGACCCCATTGATGGAGGCGTTCGGCAGGCCCGAGGCTCGGCCCTCGATCCGGCCGTCGTTGAACCTGCCACAAAGACCCGGTCTCACGTCCGAACGAGCGGATTGGCCAGGAAAAGTTGCTAAACCAGCATGTTTAGTGCCCTTGAATGGGATTAATGGCTTATAAGTGACCTTTGATTCAGGACTAAGTGACCTGATTTGTTCAAAGTCCTGGAGATTCAAACGTCAAGGAATTCCTAGTCATTCTCGGCATTGACCCTGTTTTGGACGCAAACGCCCGCAAATTACCGCAAACGCCTAGAAACAGGAAACGCTCGCAAATTGCCGCAAAACGCCCGCAAAAAAAGGGCAAACGCCCGCAAAAAAAGAGAAGGGCAAAACGCCTAAAACGCCTAACACGCCTTGAGAACCAGAACGCCTAGGAATTCCTCGGCATTGGAATCTCCAGGATGGAGCATAGCACCCAAAAAGGGAATCGAGGGCACTGAAAAGAAGCTGGAACTTTGTGCTTCCCGGAAGTCCATTTGGTCAGAATTTCCTCCCGGGCCAATCGGCCGAAAGAAGGCAAGCACACGTTGCAGCGATTTGAATCAAAACCAAACGAGGCCCTTGGAGCGTTTCCTCGTGTCCACTAAAATGGGTCCAAGCCCAAAAAGTTTGAAGGCCAGGAATCTCTGCTTTTTTTTGTTGGCGGTTGAACTGGGCCTTGCTTTGCCCTGAGTGGCCTTTCTAGGTGGGCAAAACCCGGGGTGAACTGGGGTCCGATTTTGCATTTGGGAGAGCAGCACCAAGTTGCCTGTGGGCAATTTCCGCAAAGTAGGGAATACGTTCGTGGGATGGTTTGACTTCTTTCTAAGTCTACTCGGCAAAATGGGCCCCCATGCCCACGGAACAGGTTTTGAACGAGGCACTTCGATTCTTGCCTCTAAGTGGGCCAAAGTTTGATTCTTCCTCACTAGCCCAATTGCGGACTAGCCCAATTGCGTCTTTTGTTATTGGGGCTCCCCCCTGTACAGGGACCCCTGAGCTTGCACACCACGTTACACCCCGGGGCCTTAGTTCACCTGCGCTATTTGGGTTCTCGAGCTTGGACGCGGGCTCTCGACCCCGGATGCGTGCGACTTTCCAAATGAGCCAGGATGTCAGAACCCGCTTCTTCTTTTTGAGCGAGTCCTGTTGCCTGAGCACAAACGGATGCAAGACACCAACTCCCAAGACAAGTGGGGGTCAAAACGAGCGCCCCAACCAGATCAACATGCGGTAAACATCACGAACCGAGAGGAAACTCAACTGACATTGGCCTCTTCAAGAAGGTGCGGTTAGCACCGCGCAACGCAAGACTTCGTTCCACGACCGCTAAGTTCGTCTGCCATGGCGTGGATACACGATGAAAGGAAATTCGACGAGGCTGGGGCGAGGTCGCGGCTGCGTCGTATTCTCTTTGCTGCTGGGTATCGTGGAATCAGACTATTTGGAGCTGCGAATGGACAGCACCTGCACCAGGTAAGATGGACAAAACCCTCAAAATTTTAAGACTCTGGGAGAAAACCACCTACCGACCGGCGCGGGATTTTGTGCATCCACGGTGCTTTGAGACGGCTGGCGCACTATGCGAAGGATAGATTTCTTCGGCAGAAACAACTATATGGTCTTCAAGCCTTGAAGCCCGTGAGAGAAATATGGATAATGTATGTATACACACCTACGCATATGATTTTCATCTATGCATTAATATATATATATATACATATACAGAGAGAGAGAGAGACACACAGAGATAGAGAGAGGGAGAGAGAGAGAGAGAGAGAGAGAGAGAGAGAGAGAGAGAGAGAGAGAGAGAAGTGACAAAGAGGGAAAGGGAAGTCTGCGAAACAAATCCAGGGTCCCCTTTCTGCAAGCAGGCAAGTGACTATAACTTATGACCCAAAAGGTAATGTTTACGCGGCCTTGCGGTCAGCTTGTGCACGGCAGCAGTACGGCAAGCTGTCAGCCAGAAGGGGCAGCTTGCTGTTGCTCAGCGCGGGACTCACCGCTAGGCCCCAGCAGCCATCCCTTGTCCCTCGTGGTTTCCTTTAAGGGGACGCCTAGGTTTCCAAAAACCCGTGTCCCCCCCCCCCCCCCGAGCGGCAAAAAGAGGGGAACCCGAAACCTCGACCCCAAGGCTGCCACCCATCCTCCACCTCCTCCACCTCCACCGGAGCAACTGCCGGGGCGGTGAGCTTGCTCACGGCCAAAGCCTCAGCAAGCCCAAAGCTCTGGGGGGCAGATTTTCTTCCGGCGAGGTTCCCCTCCACAAGTGATGATTCCCCACTAAACCCAGGATGGCGAATGTTAACCCCATATTGGTCAACCCCAGTTTATTGGTAGGGATCCCGGTGTCCAACTAGGTGAAATGGGGGGTTTTCAGACCACTTTTGGAGGGGAATGTCCCCCTATTGATAAACCGGGGTTGATGAATGTGGGGTCAACATTAGGGGGTTACCATTCAGGGGTTTCAGGAAAGTCAACCATGTAAAACATTTCAGGCTGCATGTCAAACAAATCCAGGGTTTTTACATGACTCCCCATGTACAATGACAACTTGAAGCATGTCTCCTGGGCGAAATGAATCCCTCAAAGATGCGTTGGTACAAACATGGCAGGTCAGGCAAGGGTCACTTCAAAAACTGCCACTTTTGGAGGCTCCAAAGGAAATGGCTCGGAAACCCCGTCCCAAAGCTCACTTCCTGACAAGCTCGCCACAAAAAGTCCGACCTTGTTTGTCTACCAGTAAAACTGTCCAACCCCAAAGAGCTTAAAGTCCACGAACTCAGGGAGTGAGGACGCCTCCTTTTGATCCGAGGGGCGTCAACCGGTTGCATTCCGAGGCTTCGGCCGCGGCCCGCGCCGCTTCCGCCGCCATGCGAATGGCGCGAGAGGCCAGGTCCTCTGCCTACTTGGTGAAGCGGGGGAAGCCCCGGTTTGGTTGGCAAAAGTGGCATGTATCGTGGTACCCTAAATTCTCTCTAGTTCGGTTGGTTAGTTTGGTTCGGTTGATTAGTTTGGTTCGGTTGATTAGTTTGGTTCAGTTGGTTAGTTTGGTTCAGTTGGTTAGTTTGGTTCGGTTGGTTAGTTTGGTTTGTTTGGTGCGGTTGGTGGGTTGGTACCCTAAATTCTCTATCGTGGTATCAGCCCCAAGGTTTTTTGTTGCCGCTGTTATTGAAATCCTGTCGTGGAAGGTACCCCCCGGTATTGGTTGGGTTGGTTGCAATGCAACTTTGGCAGAACTCAAGTACAGGCAAGACTCGCTCAAATTGATGGCTGTGAACGAGTCCAGTGTCTCAAATTCTGAGGAACCATATGGGTTGGTTTGATTGGTGAGTTCGGATTGGTTGGGTTGGCTGGCTGTTGGATTTGCTGGCCGTTGGGAACGAACCGAATCCCCTGAAAAGGAAACTACCCACCGCCAGTTGGACGCTTCAGCTCGGTTCCCCGAAACTTCCCGGCTGATCGAACCACAGGGGACCCGTTGAACGGGTTCTGATCAAAGGCACGCGTCGAGAAATTCGGGGCCTCTTGATTTCCCCAGCCATTTAACCAGGCCCGTTTGAAGCTAACTCGGGACTGGCCTGGGCATCAGCGATCTGGATGTCCTGGCGCACATGACTCTGATGAACAGACCTGGAAAATGGTTCGCCTTTCAAAACCTGGGCTAAAACCGCCCCCGAAAAAAGGCCGGGAATTGTTCAACGGCTATCAAAGGGTTCGGCAAGCGACCTTCTTTGAGCATGTTGGGCCCATCCCCAAGACTTCAACAGAGGTGTCCTTGGAATACCCGCGGACGCCTTTCTGCGCTATCCGCATCAAATCGCCAGCTCAGGAAAAGCGGGCACTCCATGCGTGCCATGGTGCTTCACCGAACCAACATTTGTTGGGCAAGATCAGCTTGCGACCGATGGGTGGTTTGGAGCCCGGTGGTTGAGTGTTCCGGGGGTGGTTTCCGATTGACCCTATACAAGAACCAGGGCTTCACCCCAACCAATGCAAACCACCAGGGGGTTACCTGTCCTTGGCAAATTTGAATAGGGTTTTGTTTTTTCTCCCCCCGAGGATGCCCATTGCCGGCCGCAAAGGAACCGATCTTTTGACAAATCAAACAGCCCAACTGCTTGGGTTGCGCTCCAAAAACCAAAACACAAAGGAAACGCAGTCACACGCATCCTAAGAAACACACATAATCTAAGTCTACATTGGCTTAAACAGCAATCTAAAACAAGAGGTTGACATACAATGAATACATCCCAAGAACAAAACATAAACACACAACTCCCAAACATCCCAGACTTTCGCTTCCAGGCCCCTCCCTTGAAGGTGCCTGCCTCCTTTGCAGGCTCTGCCTGAAATCGAAAGTTCATGAAACGGGGCTGGCCCAACGGAATCCACGACGTTCGGGAACCCAACTTGTCTAAAGCAACACCCAAGTGATTCCAGTCGCTCAAAGGGCTCAAAGGGAAAGGGTTACGTCGACTGGCTCAAAATGAAAGAGCTAGGGTTACGCAGGTGTTCGTCTTCGGTCCATTGCCATTTTGGGGATTCCAGTTTTTGAGCAACAGAAAACTACATGTCAGTGAGACTGCCGTCGGCTGACAAGCTTAGGCGTCCGCGTGCCCGAAGCTCTTACTCTCTGAGCATAGGAGGTCTCAGGGAAATGCTTCTACGTGTCACTCAACATATGCCTCAAAATGTAGATGTTCTGTATGGGCGGGGCGTACCAACCTACATTCGGTGCGCATGTAAATAGTGTTATTTCCCTTCCCAACCTGCATACATCTTGCTTCATATTGGGGTGTGTACGAATCGGTACAGCGTACATTGGGGGCAGTACTCCGCATAGTACCCCTATATTTCCGACTTTAAGCATCACCCCAACCAAAAGGAGGAAGGTCTTTCTAAATTCGCCCAAAAGGATGTCTAAAACCAAAAGGGGAAATATAAGGAGCCCCGACAAACGGCTACCCTCTTTTTGCGACAATTCTGGACGATCGGACCTCCATTTGCTTAAGCCCCCTGGAAAAGTACAAACTATGTCCAGTAGTGAAATCGATTCCCTTTAAACCAACAGAAGCAAATAACAAAACATATTCCTAAGCAAATGGAAGGACGGTAAATTCGCCGCAATGGTCCGTTTTGAGCCGTCTTCCTGAGCTTCCCGCGGGGCTCTTCGCCGGGCTCTTGCCCGGGCTCTTGCCTGGGCTCAGCTCCTTGCACCTTGGCAAAGGCCAAGCTGGATGCCTTCCGAGTTCTTGCCAACTCTAAGCAAGGAAAATGCAAACTCTGGCACAAATACTTTGTCTATAGATTTCAAGCTTGGAGACTCCAGAGGTCAAGCTTTGCAGTCAAATGATTCACTGCCATGCCTCAACCCCGCCCCCCAGTCGCGGCTTCTGAGTCGTGTTCTGCCCCAGCAGGCTGTCTCGGAATTCCATTGCCTCGCGGGCATATTCATCCTAAAGAGAACTTGTTTTCGTGCTTATCACTCCCGGAGGATCCCAGTTGCCTTCATACCCACACAACCCATGTAGGAATTGCTTACAACATCCGACACATGATGAAGGGTAACTGTGGGTAGATATTGCATACATGGAATGTTTGAGATAGTAAGTAACCAGCCAGTTTCCCCTTAGTTTGCCATGGGGTACCCGTACAATTAAATGGAATCACTGGAACTGGAAAGGGGATCCCACTATCACAGAAAGTGCCAAACTCAATCCCCAAATGTCCACATATGTCCACATGATTCTGGAAGCTTCATGCAAACTTTGCACGTGGCGTGCAAATCAACGTCCTTTCTGCCCACTTTAGATGGGTTCACAAAGCTTGATGACCACTGCCGCGTTTGCGAACCTTCCCATCAAACCGAAGAGATCTGGGAGGACTCCGATTTACTCAGTGTTTTCAGCAGACTTTCAGAGGACAGTGGGACAAAAGGCTTTCGGATCACAAGTAACACGTGACCAGCAACAAACTGGACAAATCCACGCGAAAAATCAAGGATCGTTGTGAAAAGGCCGGCTACCTTTACAACCCTTGGGAGTAGTACACAACATGCTTTTTGCAGCCCCCACCAAACATGATCATAACCAAAACACCGAAGAACCTGAAAACATGCCAACAACCGAGAAGCTACTGTGGTCCTCCATTTGCTTAAGTCCCTTGGAAAACAAAAAAACAATAATATATATTTTAAAAAATAAAATAAAATAAAAAAACAATACTGAAATTGATTCCCTTCAAAACCAACAGGGAAACAAAACAACATATTTGTTTCAGCAAATGGAAGTGGTATCCGGTCGATCCGCCGAGACAAACCCGGTGGATCCTCTCGTGCGCGCGCGCGCCTCTGCCTTGGTGCGCCCAAGCTCCAGCTGCTCGTAGCACAGCTCCGCCTCTCATGGCGCTTTTCTACTCGTCAAAAAAACGAGGGAAATCCCGTGGTCTTGGCCCAGCTGGGCCATGAATTTTCATTAGGGGGCCGTTTGGACGTCAGACTTCGGTGGGGATTCATGTCCACCCACTTTTTGAGGTGGTTGGTCCCCTGTGAAATTTCATGGCCAGTTGAGTCGGAAGCAACACCATGGTGTTAAAATGGCCTACCCAGAGCCATGTAAGGAAATAACAAGGCGGGCGCACCCTGCAAATTGTTTGCGTTTGAAAGTGGTAACTGGAACGGGGCATCCTGCAGGTTTGTGCGACTACAAACAAGGCAAATCCTGCTTCAATGTAACCGCCCTAAGCATCACTGGACCCTTGATTGGTGTCAGGACCTCCATTGGAAAGTTTGATATAGGCCCGTTTTGAGGTAGCGAGATTCTTGGGGTAGGAATGGTGCTTTCAGGTTTTACCTGGTATTTCCCCTTGACCTGTACAGTACTGGAAGAAGTGGGTATGCCCAAAAGAAGCCTTTCAACTCACGTCTTTGGACCTGTCCAAGGGCATCCAAGGGCAAACACATCCTGGTTTTTGTTTGGGGTACCCCGATTTTGTAGAGGCAACCACAAGGAAAGCAACGAAACCCCCCGCGGGGCTGGCGTCCACAAGTCGTCCCGTCGGACTCAGCGCCCCGGCCACGCGCAGTGCGAGGTCCCGGGAACCGCAGCGCTTCACCGGCACCTGGAGTGGAGCCTACGCCAACTGGCCATGGGTCAAAAAGCCCCGGTGAGCCCCGGTTAGAACCTCCCAATCCCCGCTAAAATCCGCTAAACTGGGTGGTGAATGCACCTGGCCCACAATGGGATCCCATTGGTTTTGACCCATGGCCAAATGGGTGTGGTCCAAGAGCGACACGACTAGCATGAAGTTGGCTCAAAAGCTTGCCAACTCCTCCACCTCGGACCTTTTGGCTTGAGCGCCACACCCAAATGGCCTTAATGATTGCTAAAAGGTCACAGAGCCAAAGCACTTGATACCTAGCCTTGGGATGCCTTGGGTCCTGGATGTTATTTTTGGTCCTTGCCCAGGCTCTGGAATTCAGGGGGTTACCACGCCTTTGGTGGGAGGGAAGCCCCGAACCGGGGTCGCCGGAGTTGGACAGTGGCAAACTCAGAACTTGGTTCAAAAAACACCAAGTTCGAGTTGTTTGTTCAAACCGAATGGTTGCTTCCCTGTGTTCTCTCATCTGAAACTCGAATTTAGGTGCAACAAAAGGGAAGTTCACAGTGGCGTGGATCATTCCTTCCACAAGCAAAGTTGCCATCCGTAACTTGCGCTTGTGTTTCCCGTGCGACCGATTTGAGGTGCTGAGTTCCTGATCCTCTACCAGATGTGGTCCCCATACTTTGTCGTTTTGAATGGGGGTTCATAGAGGGTAGCACAGTGGGCCACGCGGTCAGAAAGTGCTCCAAGTGCCAAGGTCCCTCTCTAAACATCATGTCGTTGAGGCCAGGTGTTAGGATTAGTTCCAGCTTGATTTCTTGGGTGTCTCCTCAAATCGGAATTCAACCCCAGTGACCAGGGTGGGACAACGGTGGAACAAGCACGCCCCAAATTAGCCATAATGTAATCTGGAATGAAATGGGGTCAAACAAAAACATGCAAATAATGAAACAAATGGATAGCTGGACCCATTTATGGTCGGGACTTCTTCCTGCTGGCCTTTTTGCGGGGTTTCTTGTGTCTCTCGTGGTTGCAAAAACTTATAATTTCATTTGATGGAGCTCTGCAGGAACAACAGCTGAAAGCTGAAGCGTGTCGTTCGCAAGCATCTCCCAGTTCTTGCCATGCTTGCAGCTCCTCCCTACGATGCATGGGTCCTGCATTCAGACGAATGACATGCAATTCAGAAGCTGGGGCAAATAGTGAGACCCCGAGCACATCACCGACACCACCCGCAAACATCCTTGGGGAAGACTAAGACTAAGAGAGGCTCCAAGACGGTGTTTTTTGTGAAAGGCTTCTTGGGCATGGAACCCTACCACGGCCTGCATCTCCACCTTCTCCTGGCCAGAAAACCTGCAACTCAACACTCCCGTGCATCCTGCATGCAATTGCTTGGCAGAAACAAGCCTCCGAAGAGTTGAAAGATGAATTATGCTTTTCCGCCGCTTCGCAGTACCTCCGACAACGGATCACGCAAGCAGGTAAAACGAAACAATCTGTGATTGGTACATCTTTGCTCAGCTGGATGCACGAATCGGCTCAGTAACACTGGCCTGATCATGAATCGATCTCCTTGTCCCACATACTTGGGCTTGCCCATGGCCTCAGCGGGTTTTCGAGTTCCGGTGGCCAACCCCGAAGTCAGTGACGGAAAGGACGTACATCCAGGCATTCTGCATCTTACACGGGGGTGTCTTTCCTTGACGATACCCTTTTTGGGATGGCTTTGAAGCCATTTGCAGGGTCCCCTGAAAAAGGACACAGAACCACATGATGGTTCGACTACAGTAAACAGTGTAAATCATGTAAAACCTCGAGATCTAGAGGTTACAAGCCCGGTTAGGGTCACCTACTGATGCTAATTTAGCACGGTTGGAAACCCTTCGGGGCCCCCACAGCCTTTCAGAGTGGCTGGCGCCCATCCATGACTTTAGCTCAACCCATCTACGCAGCCCACATTCATTTCTGGAAGCTTGCGCTTGTCTTGTCAAGCCTTCGTTGACCATGGTTGTCGAACAAAACTCCAACTCTGTGAGAAGTGGGCAATTCCCATGATCCAATGAAATTACCGAGGGGATCACTTGGTATCAAAACCAAAAAACTACAAAGCCCACTTCTCCACATCCATGATATAATGTATACCTTTTCGTCAACGTTGCGAGACTGCCAGCTTGTCGAGCTCACTCTCGAGCTTTGCGCTGGATTTGGACCCGCATCTCTGGGGTTCATTTGGCTCGTCTTCTTTCTTCTTGGATGCTTTGGGAGGAATCAACAAATTGGCAACACGTCCATTTAACATTTGCTTAAGCCCCCCCTAGAAAAAAAGGAAAAAAACATCTAGTCGTGATAGATTCCCTTTAAAACCAACAAGGGAAAACAACAAATATTCTCAAGCAAATTGACGAACATGGTTGTGAGGAGTTGCAAGGAGTTACAGTAAATGGGGTCCAAGTGAGGGTTGCTGACCACTTGGCGATTCCTACCGGACCGCCTAAGTTCATCACCTGCATCACCATCCACTGCAGTGTTCTGAAATGTGAGCGCGTCGACTGTACTTTGAGAGGCTGGATTTACGTCAGCCAAAAGGAACAAATCACTGGAACATTCGTGCCTGTCATGGAGGAGCCGTGCCCCAAACGTAGACCCTTACATGTCCTGTATATGTTTGTACACACATCCCACAGCAATGTTGGTACAGCAGGCTAAAAGGAAACAAGTCGTCGGGCCGTCGCATGCAAATCCAGCCGCGCCTGGCTTGTCTCCGACAGCTGGCCGAGGTCATCAGGAGTCATGCCTTCGATCGCTCCCGCGCGACACAAACCACGTCACTCCCTAGTGCTTCCTGGCAGCCAAGGGACACACCCAGGTCAAAACTACTTGGTTCCCTCTCAGTGGTTCTATTGCTCTAACTTCCTGAGTGGATTGGCCAGAAAAAGTCAAAACTGTTTGTCTGCCACTGAAGTGGACTTCCAACAAAGTATGATTTCCCGGAACTCAGGGAATGGGTATTCCATTTCCCTAGGTAACCAAGGGACACACCCTGAAGCTGGGAATATGGCGAAGGGTTAACCGTGGCCCTGGGTCAGGGGCTGCCGTTGCACTTCGGTGCAGGGTCTTGCCAAAGAACTCCTGGAGAGTCTTTGCTACCACTGAAGTGACACCCTTTCCCACAGCATACCTAAGGGAGGAGAGTACTCCAGTTGGGTTCCGCCCTCGTGTCGGAGAAACTGGCTTGTTCCGGTTGGTCCCGAACAACTTACAGAGCAAACTAGACAGGTTGACAGAACCTCAAACGGGTGCGTCGTTCTGTAGGGGACCCCCCAAAAAATATTCGGTTCTAGCTTTGGTTTCCCTCAACCACAAAAAATGGGTACCCTCCAAAAGAGACACACCCTGGGAGCCTGTATTGACAGCCCCTCCTCTGGGCTCGTCTGTTTTCTGATTTGGTCAGAGCAAGCCAAAGGTAACGCACCGATCATCCTGCTGCCCTTGTCCACCTGAAAATACCCGCCTGGCACGTGACCCAAAACTGGACCAAGGGGAAAGAGAGAGCAGGGCTGCAAGAGGAAACTACCACATTTCCTTGGGCTTTCAAAAGGTCCCGGAAAGGAATGTGTCTGTCTGTCGGGTTCTCTGGTATCACGGGAACCAAACCCTCATTCCAATGGCACAAAGGATGCAAGGCTTTGGACAACTGATTCTGGGCGGGTGTTTCAAGGGCCCTTTTTGGCTGGTTGTTAAGGGAAACCAACGGGAACCCGCAAGTATTGATACCCGGAAACCAAACCGGCGCAAAGCCCGGCGGACTCGCTGCTCGATCGACCGCGCCTCACTGACCCTCAAAGCCAGCTAAATGGCCTAAGTCACAACCAAGATTCGAGAAAACAAAAAAAGATCCGCATTGCTCCAAGCAGGGGGGAGCCAAGGGAACCACTCTTTAATAAGTCAGGAAAATTGCTGGTTGCCCATAGTGAACTGGATCCCACTGGGATTATGGAAGCAACAAACTCATTTCTCGAGGGATCTTCTTTTGGGGACCCTCTCTCGGTTTTGTTGAGTTGCAGGGGAGATATTTGACGCCCGTTGCGGCGTTTGCTCCGAGCAGGTTGCCGGAAAAAGTAGGATCCGCGGAAAGAATGCAAAGGAGGGTCCCAAGCATCCAACTGTTTGACAGCTTCTGAGCTGGCTGTGGCCTTGCCGAACATCAATGGCTTTCTCTTTGAAAGCGGCCTTGAGTGACAACCAACCTCTGATATCAAAGGAGTCTACCCAAAACCAATAGTCGACAATCCCCCCCCCAAAAAAGGTAATGTCCCGCACAAAGTTCATATAGCTGATCCGATGATTTGGAATGAATATCAAGCGAGGACCCTGTCGGGATTTGTGACCTTGAACCACGAGGAGCCTCGACCTCAAAATATATCCACTTTAGCTAGCCCAGTGGATCCCAGATACAACTGTAGTAGGTAACCAACAATTTTCCTGTGGAGTTTTGACAGGGTGGTTTTCTTGGTTGCCTGCTGTACAGGTAAATGGAAACACGGAGTAGTGCTGCCCAACCCCTGGCCAATCCCCAATGACACTTTCTGTAATTCGGGAGTATCGCTGTACCAGTTCCCTGTCGCAGAGCCACCCATCCTACGAGCTTATGCGGAAGATTGGGCCATTGGTATGGGCTCAAGGTTCACTTCAGCACAACTTCACATTTACTCTTTACAGAGAATACCATCGCTGGGCATTGCAGGCTGCCCAAATCTGGGGAACACAAAGACTGTTCAGATGCTCCTTCATATTTAATTTACCCCAAAATGTAAAAATAAATATTATGGGCTGTCTTCAGATCCCTTGCCTCAAACTTTTAGTGGGTCAAATGGACACCCGCGACCCCCGCGACCCTCACAAGCCAAGGGGACATCTGGGAACCAACAGGAATTGGAGGCCCCAGACGTAGCACCGGCGCCATGCCGCGACGCCGCCATGCGCCCGCGTGCCGGGCTGCGATGCGCTGCGCATGCGCAGCCCCCCCCGCGTCTGGCTGCAACTGAAAGCCTGTTGGCGTGTCAAATGGGTGCGTCTTCTTGCAACTCGTGCAAGTCTGATCTCCACCAAGGTTCCGTATTCAAATTCAGAAAGCCCATGTTTAGTCCAGTCATCCCCAGACATGTGACGGTTGGAAAGCTTTGTCGTAGCAATCCCAAAGAGTCATGCACCAAGTCAGGTCGCATCTTGCTCATTCAACTCTGAAAGACTGCTGCGAAGATGCGATCGGGATAAGTTCTTGCGACTCATCAATATGACTGCCATCAAGCTGCCTTCGTCTTGAGCACGGAAAGGCTTTCCGTCGCACACAAAGGCGAACCCTGCGAGCGAGGCAGTATGGAATTCTGTTCAACATCCCGGTGACTTCATACCGTGGGGGCCCTTGTTCCTTAACTCCTGTTCCAGAACCTTATTGTACAGAGTTCCCCGGAATTCAACACTCAACAAGTCCCGTCCAACAGACTGCGTCAAGCTTGCTTGACTAAATGCGGATGTGTGAATTGCCACGTGGAGAATACAGGGACCCCCTATAGTTCCCTTTAAGAACCAAACCAAGGGGGATGAGATCTAGCGTTAGGCGAGACCCTCAAAAACCCGGCCTCTCCGAGGTGCTAGCATATCGGCAAGACTTGCAAGCTACCACCTTGCTCAGCTACTGATCAGAGCCAAAACAAATCTCAACTGATTGCCACTAGAATTGTTTTCCCGAAAAGCATATAAATTTCAGCAACTCAGGGAGGGAGTTCTCCAGTTCACTTGAACTCAGAATGTCATCTGCAAAATCAGTCCTTGGATGCCCCATTCAGTAGGATTGCAGGTTCCTCATCCATGCTTCTGACCTTCACACAAAAAACAATACAGAAGTGGAGATCTCCAAATTTGGGAATTGTCTGACCCCCTCTTTTGCCTTCCTTCAGCCCCCCGAAAAAACGCTCTGGCCGAAGCAAGCCATCCCAAAGATGGCACGGGTCCGAACTTGGCGAAGAAGCGCCGGAGCCGCTCCTGGCAGGTCGCCAGTACTCAACAAGTGAGTTCCTTCGGTGGCAAAGGGCCATGGTTTTGAATGACCAAGTCGTACTGTGGGTGGTTGCGAAATCCATTTCGCACCACCGTTCAGAAACCCTGGAAGGAGTGGATTCCCCTGTAAATGCCAACAATCAATGGTTTCCCTTGGTTTCAAAGTGGTGCGAAATGGATTCCGTCCACCCACAGACTCTCTTTCAGAATTCGCTCTGCTTTAGCCTGCATAAAAGGCGATCTTTTTCAAAGGGAGCTGGCTGGGCTGTTCTACTTGCCACACACTGGTGGAACAAAGGACAAAGGGTTAAACAAGGGCCCTTCTTTGCATCGCGGCTGTTGAGCTTATTTACGCAATACCTGGTTGGTTTCCATAAAAGCAGAGTGAAAGGGGAGCTGCTTCTTTGACTGGATGGATTTCATCTCCGGCGGCGAAGGCCATGGGCAACCGGCTTCCCATTAAGACCAAAACGGGTAATGCCCCAGTGGATCCCAGTTCTCACTACCGGCCACCAGCAAATGTCCTTTTGGCTTTCCTACTGGGTGATTCCCTTGGATTCCCTGCTAAACAGCTAAAAATTGCTCCACAGGCATAATTACCGAGCCTCGAAAAATATGACAAACACATGTGCTGCACCCAGCGCTCCTGCACGTACTCGGGGGTCTTGCCCAAAGGCATGCCCTGGAGCTCCAAAGTGTTCTCCCCGTAGATGCGGAGCCCCTCATAGCCTCCGCTCCGGGGACCAAAGGGGAGGGGCTCAAAATGGCTCTCGTGCTGTTTGGAGGCCAACCCAACTTTTGGATTGGTGTTAAAAGGAAATTCGGATTGGGGGGGGGGTTCTTCTCGAGGTAGTGCACCTTTGGGGTGTAAAGGGGAACCAAAAGAACACCAGCCATTCTAGGGGACCAATGCCTTTTTTGAGAAACACCCACGGTCATGGGAAAACCCATACGTCCTCCGAACAGGTAAACGTTGGCACATGCTATCTATGGTGATATGGAATGTGTGGGAAATGGGAGGTGGGGTCATGGAGAAGACGCCAAAGGTACTGGAGAGAGACGTAGGACACCCCCCCCGCTTTTGGACATGCGTCTCCTTTTGCCTTGCTTGCCTGAACCATGCAAAAAGGCAAAAGTTCCTGTCTTCCCTCTAGACTGAAGCCATCCCTGTCTAAAGAGCGGTTTGCAATCCCCCCAAACCTGAGTCATAATCAAAACCTGGAATCAAAAAATGTGTGTCCAAGCCAATGAAAAGAAATCAAAAGGCGGCTGCGCCCATTTGTGGTTGGGATCTTCGATCTCATCCACCCGGGTTTTTGGTGTGGGGGGGTGCCGCCAGGTGGCCGTCTTGCGGGTCGTCCGCATACCAATTGATGGGCTTCTTGGTGACCTTGGACACCTGAGGTGGGCTTAACGGGAAATCAAAAGGAACCTCGCGTTTTGTCTAGGGTCACCCGAGTCTGGCTGGGTAAGAATCTGAAGTGTGTGTGTGTGTGTGTGTGACTTGCTTGAGGGTGTCGTTTAGAGGTTGGATGAAGGGCTATGAAGCAAATGAGAATGAATTTGAAAGCGATGACCTTAAAGATACCGCACACGGTTGTCGGAGATATACAGTACGAGGAAACCCGCCAAAACAGATAGCTCCTCCATTAAAATCCATTCAAATGAAGGTCAAAGAGCCAAAGATGCAGATTCAAAGGCCAAGCACCAAGGTCATAAGTAGAATATCGATCATTATTGCTCATATGGAGGATGATCAAAAGGTCCTTCACATGGGTGGGCCACGGGGGGAAGACTGCTACAACGATGATATGTCCCTAAATCGGAAAAGTTACACGTGGTCATTTGGGCGCCAGGAATATTGATCAACCCTCATATGGAGTGAGTCCGTGTCTTCAAGCAAATAGTCTGGCACGTACTTCTCAAGAACTCTCGCGCAGGCGTCAAAATATGTCCAGCCGCCTGAGCCAAAGCAAGTCGCTGACTCCGGGTCAAAACCGAAGGGAACATCAAGGCAGTTGGAAGACAAGCTACAACCGGCGGTCTTTGCAAGCAAATAACAAATACTTCGAGGGGACAAACTTGTGATTTGTTTCTTGCGACTGGTGAGGCAAGCTCATGTATCAAGGTCTAAGCAGCAAGCAGCCGGGTAGTGGTACAGGCTGTCAACCTGCAAAGCAGGTTAAGTGCCAATCGTTGGCCTACAGAAAATATGTGTCACACTTGTTGGACCCCCAAAATGGTGGTATTATGTTGGTGCTCCTTCTGGTGTTTCTTTAAACCCACCACAAAAGGCTATTTTCCAAATCCGCCGACCCACCCAATTGGACACACCAGCTCGAGCCCAAGAAGCAGAAGCTGGGCGCAAAGCACAAGTGGTGAGCCTAGGGGGGGAGGGGGGAGGGGCTCAAATTTGCACTTGATAAGGCCTTAAGGGCAAATTTGGGCCCCTTCCCTCCCCCCCTCTCCCTCCCCCCCAGGCCGCATGATACTTAGAGCTGCAATTGTGTTGCGTGGGAGAAAAACATCCTACACCAAAACGCGCCCCACACAAGGAACAATGGCTGTTCATGTCTTTGGCAGCTTTCTCTTCGCCGCGCGATAAGACCACCTGAAGCATATCGCACGCCGAGCGCTCGCTTTTGGCAGCCTGTCCACTGTGCCTAGACGCAGACCTCCCTTGAGGCCCGCGATGTCTTGAATCCATGCTCAGGTGGCCAACACAAGGCCCTTTGGTTGTCTCCCGGTGACATTCAGCGCCACGGGGATTCAAAAAGGGGATCATAGTTGTGGCAACCTAAGGTAGCAAAACGCAATCACTGGAGGCAAGGCTCCTTCCCCTGCAAGCCAAGCGCAAGCAGGGCTAGCCTCGCTCACCATTCCTTCGCGAAAGAGCCAGCCACTACTTGGCAATCCAAGTGAGGCGATTCTCCTCCACAGGGCAATGCCGTGTTTAATTCTGCAACACCATTATTGGCTTCAAATTTGAGGAGCACCCAGCCCCCGTTGAACTTTGGGACTATCAAGACAATTTTGGTCTACATAGGGCTTGGGCGCTGGCGTCTGTTTGGGTGGCACCAGTTCTTTGGTTTCTTTCTGGAGCCGGTTTGAAGGGACAACACGGGGGCGCCACTCAAACGTGCTTTCTGATTTTGAACACAAACTTGGTGGTTTTTGATTGAATTGAACACTGCTCATTGAACTCTGGTGTTTGGTCTCCCACACTGTTGCTTAAAATCAGTCGCTGAGAATTCACAGTATGGTGTTTTCCCTTTCACACAGGCGTGTCCTTAAAAACGGACCCACCTGAAAAACAAAAAGTGGGCTTCCCAGCTTTTCCATTTGAGATAGGCCCAGGAAGAGTTGTACCAACTCAAAAAGAAAAGACCACACCGACATCTCGCGAATTCTGGTTGTTGTGGTGTGTTCATTCTTGCTCTTCTGAAGGCAACCCAACGAAACAACACCAGTAAAAGGTAGCAACCAGCGATGGGCAAAATTGGCTTTAAAAAGCTTGGCCACACACACACACACCTTGAAAACAGAACCTAGATGAGGATGTTTCAACAATTGGCTGGCATCAAAAAACACAAAATCAAGAACAAGCCAATGAAGTCAAAGAGTTACTCAACCCTCGACTTCGCCCAACATCCTTTTTTAAGGGAGACATCTTCCCGAACCGCCACAACCCCAGACAAACTCCCAAACCCACACTGAACCCACTCTAACCCAACTCCAAACCCGAATTTGTGTTTCCTGTTTTTTCCCGATCGCTTTCGATCAATTGCGCCTTGTGGGGGCACGCCTTCTCCGGCATCTCGGCAATGAGGCCCTTCCCAGTGGGATTTTGGCACTCGCTTTTTGGGTAGTAGGGAAACCCCTCCAAAATAGGCCAATCGACCCCATAGCTGGAAAGCTGTTGGAAAAAAAACATGCTTTTATGATACCCTCCCTCAGCATGGCACCTGACAGGGACCCGGTCCCTTGAGGAAACTGATCTTCCAGGTACAGGTGCCATACTGCGGATGGACCAAATCCGTTCGAACCACTTTGAGACAGTTGAAACCAGAACGTTTGTTGGCATTTACATGGGAATCACATCCTTCCAGGGTCTCTGCACGGTGGATGTCGCAACCATCCACAGTATTCTAGGGGTTGATTCCCCATTCTTTTCAACCCTCGTTCTTTTCAAAAACCATCGCTGTTTGTTTGGGGTTCTGATGGTTTTCTGGAAAGATCCGGATCCCTGGGATCAGAATGGTTGGAAGTGCCCCCTAGAAGCGACAGTGTCAAATCCTTCCATCCCCAGGGTGCCATGCGTGCGGAATGGGTCTCGGCCTTCTCCATGACTCCCAGCCAGTAGGTGACCTTTGCGCCGGCCTCACTGGGATTTCTATCGACCGGACCGCAACCCCAAAACCGGCGCCAACCGGTGGCTTGAGCGACAAAAACACGACCCCCAGTTTGGGGGCACCCCTAAAAATGGGGCCGGGGGGAGGAATTTTGGTTTTCCTGGAAAGAAACTCATTTCGGATTTGTGAAGAAAGGCATGTGGAATCAAAATGACTATTGGTTGGAGACGTCGTCCCCTTAGGCCTGGTGCTTCAGAATGTGGGGCAGGTGATTGGGTTTTGCTTCTTTGATGTGGGACGTTGACCGTTTCTGGTCTTCAACTTGCTTGATCTCATGAAGCTATTGGACCTCTGAAGGTAAAGTCTTGCAGTTCACCTGCTGTCGCTCGAAGACCATACATAACTCAGAGGGCTTGGGTGGGTTCCCTTGTAAACAAAGGGAACACGCGGGGTGGGGAAAGGGCAGTTCACCACTTGAGCTACAAAAAATACTTTTCAAGCGGCACATATCCGCATCAATTCCGGCCAAGATGCTGTCCCCTGCCAACCATCATTTGCCGGAAATTTGATTGTGGTCCCTTTGGCCGACGCGTTTATTGGGACAAACACGTGCGTGTGCGGGTGGATCGTTTGGTACAGGATGTCTGTTTGGAAGCCATAGTTTGTTGTTTCTCGGCATACCTCGAACAGGCAACCATCATGTTTAGGGAGCCCCTCCACACAATCATTCTTCGCCTTTTTGTTTTGGGGGCAAGGTGCACGGTTCCGAAATCCGCTTCTCGCACCACGACATGAAACCATGACTATAACGTGCGTTGGTATTCGCAGGGCAATCACACATCCTTCCAGGGCTTCTGAACGGTTGCGAAATGGATTTCGCAACCGTCAGCAATCATGCACCAGCTTGGCTTGCTCCCTTCGACCAAGCACCCGGGGCCGTCTGCCCGCCTCGCAGACGGGCCCGAAGTCAGGGGTCACGTGCACGTAGGTGTTGGTGCCCTCCACAGTCTTGTTGATGTCGAAGTTCATGTCCTCGCGCTGGAAGCGGTGACCAGGTCGTTGTTTGACGCTACTACACCAAAGGACAACCACCATTTTGGAGAGTCCTTCAAAAAAACGAAACTCGAGCAGCCCGGCCCTTTTGCGGGGGGGAAAAAAAACGGGGACTGAACACTAACTGACTATAACTGCAAACACAACCAGCCTTACATACCCCGCATCCGAATTTTGATCTGGTGATCACATTTGGGGACGTCCGCCAAGGACGAAAAGGCCTCAAGTTTGCCTTGTTGTACTTGCTTTGAAGGGCCACTAAGTGTTGGAGGTCAAGCCCATATATACTTTCCCTTTGGCGAAGCGACAATGTATGGTTTGAAGGGCCCCTTCTTGAAGAGTACGCCACCCTCTATTTGACTGCCCAACATCCATTGACTCTTGGGCTATACCGGCACGGTCATACACGTTTCAATTGGGCATCTGCACCAAAAAGAGGCGATATCTCCCTAAACCTTATGGCCCCCAGAGGTCCATCAGTACCCCATAAAATAGAAGGTTCTTTGCAAACTCCACTCACTTCGGAACGGTAGATCGACCAACAACAAGTCTAAACGCTTTGTTTACCATCAAAATGGTCCAAACCCACAAAGTGACTAAAGTCCTGAAACTCGGGGAGTGAGACTACAGGTGAGCAGAGCCACAAAAACGGGCACATCACGCAAACATATACGGTGCCAACCAAAAGCACACGGATGCTTGACCAGGTCTGGCATTTGATTCATGCCCAGCCCGGCCGATCGTCCACACGTCCAACACATCTGGATTGAACCTGGTACACTTTAATGATGCATTACCCTACCATCCACCAACATAGAACCTCACAAGGGCGTCCTGGAAGATTATGTTCCTTTAAAAGGGACCCTTCTGGTGGGTGCCATGTTAGTGAACCAAGGGGCACACATGGAACAAAATGGGTGCCACATGCCGTGGAAAGACGCGCAAGGTCTCCCTGGTGGTGACTTGGCGGGTGGGTTGCTGGGAAAGCAAAAAGTCCAAACCACCAACAGGCAGGGGCTCCCTAAATATTCCCCCTTCAACACATCGCTCCGAGAAAACTCACTATTGAAGTTGGCCCAAAAGCTGACGTTTAAATTCATTAAATCGACCAAATCAAGAAGAATAGGGATTCCTGAGCGCCTGACACGGAATTTCCACTGACCAAGGGAAGCTATGGGGAAGGCTATCCCCGGTCCTCGTGCCCAGGCTCCTTGTTGACGCTGTAGTGCACCGCAACCATGGTCACCTCCTGTGGCCGTGAGAACCCTGCCATTCGACGTTCCGGGGGATGGGTCCTGGGTTGGACCATTGTCCTTTTAAAGGGACCGGGTCCCGAACGTCAGGTTCCATGGAAAATCATGGGAAGAATTTGGTCAGCGTTTCTCGGATCTGTGTGCCCACAAACGAGCCTCTTGTGATGCCCGCCAAAAAGAAAGAGATGACATGTGCTCAGACCTTGGAGCCGTTTCTGTGATACCAACTTGGGATTCCCATCCCCCTGATTACTTTACGACTTCAAAAAGGGCCCTTGCTGACAATCCACGGCCGGTCATTTGAGGGAAAGTCAAAGAAGGGGAGAACCCAACATCTTCGGCTGCCTTTAACTTTGCTTTCCACATGGTACAAATCGCTTGATTTACAGGGGGATCTTCCACAGGCCGGAAATGTGATATGAGCACGGCAAAACTGCAATCCGTTTGACCCTGAAAAGTGCGCCGTATGTAGTTGGCTTAAACAACACCAATGCATCACCTCTCCCTCGCAACGGCCATCGACTCCGACGCTCTCCTGCGGATTGATGGGTGTCACTGAGAACTTCAGCCGGCTCTTGCCCTTGTCATCCTTCACCAGCTCCAGTGAGTGAGGGAACCTGCGGAGCGTGTCGTTGGCGAATATGTGTTTAAGCAACCAATGGTCGCCAAAGTTTATTCGGAGAATGGCGATTAATTTCTTGACGAAAGAGCTTGTCCCAGCCAACTGGCTAACAAACGTGGGCTCAAGCACCACTCCATGAATTCTTGTTTGCCCACATTCCGGAAGACTTAAGGAGAAGGAAGGGTCCCTTTATCGAGGGTACGACTTCGCACATCCACTACATCTAGGGGTTGGATGTTTGTTAACCAACATCAAACCAAGTGGTTGCATGCAAAGGAGGTAACGACAACTCCAAACTCGCACATTCAGCATCAGCCCATATTTTGCCAACATTGTGCCCATGGGAAACCCTTCAAACGGCAGTGTCATGTTTGATCCTTCCAAGGGAACTTCATCCTTTGCCTCCACTCAGCCCAACCAAAGAAACCTCTCAAACGCATCAAAGGCCCGGTCCTGCCGGCCACAAAGTGCCCGGCGCCGGAGTATCCGCCGGCTTTGGCGGGGCCGGGTGCGCCGCCGAATGCCGCGGGGAACTCGGCCATGACGCTGGCGCGGGCGTCGGCCTCGCTGAGGCCCTTGTTCTCCATCAGCCACTTGGCGCGGTTCTGGGCAGGCGCCCCCTGCGGATCGCGGGAAAGCCCAAGGAGCGTTTTGGGAGGGGGGAGAGCTTTTGAAAGCTCAGAGAGCATTTTGGGTCAAAAAGAATGGGACAAGAGGGGCCGGGCTGGAGCCTTTCTCCGAAAGAAAAAGTGGAACCCATCCTAAGGACCGAACAAAGACCCGCGACCTTTGAAGGGCTGTAACACACCTCTAAACAGGGCACTCGATACCTCTAAAATGCAGTTGTTGTATTTGTTTAGCGGATACCAAAACGCCCCCCCGTCCCAAAAAAAAAGAAGTCAACCCTCCTTTTTGAAGGGAAGTCGAGTATGAGGTAAACCATTACAACCAACCCCGGAACCACCCCTTTTTCAAGACAAGCATGGCCCAGGATGACTCAGAACAACTGTTTTTCCCTAAACATCTGAATTCCCCCTGTGAAACACCATACCCTTGACATCTGCCAAGTGGTGGTCTTTGCCATCCTGGCCCAGTGCTTCCAAACCAGTCGAAAAAGCAGCAACACCTAGAGGTAAGAAACTCGACTACCTACTGGGTCCATTAAAGTGACATCCTCAAAATTACCACTCACAAGCAATTTTTAGACACGCCAAGCTTTTTGTGCATCTAGCACCCTCCAACTCCTTTTCCCCAAAAATGAAGCACGTCCATTCCCCCGTCCATTCCCCCGTCCACCGCAGACGAGGGGCATCGCAGACCACGTCGGGGTTCCACTTCCCGCCCTTGAATGCGGCCGGGAACTCGCCCATGACGTTGGCCCGGGCGTCTCCCTCGCTGAGGCCCTTGTTCTCCATGAACCACTTGGCGCGGTTCACCGCCGGGGCGCCCTGACAGCGGCGGCTTTTTCGCTGCCCGAGCTGCAGAGTTGTGTTGGTGGGGTGGTCCCCATTGACCCAAGAGACATGGACAGATGCCCCAGAATAAAAATTAAATAAACCCCTGTCCATTTCGGTGTGATGAATCTATCGAAGCCACGGTCAAATTCTCGTTTTCCCGACATGGCAACGCACAACAAACTGATCGAGCCTTTAGGGAATTGCATGGGTTGCCAAACATGTAGGGTCGACTACCGGGGAGAGTTGGACGTGTTTCCTGCAGCTTCGGCATGGGTTCAGCTCCCGGTCCATGACCCAGTCCCTCCCCCCCCCCCCTCGCATTGCGCAATGACTCCGAACCCGCCCCAACCCTTGAAACCAACGCATTTAGCAGCCTGGTGATGAGAACTCGGTTCAGATCCACCGGTGTTTGTGAAGGGAATCCATTTGGGCTGAACATGCTCGGTTTTTGAGGACGCCAGCAATCCCACGACCCCGCAAAGGAACGAAAAAACAACGAACCCCGAAGCCTCGCACGCCACATCGGGATTCCAGGTCAAAGCAGTCGGAAACGCCAGGAACTGGGGCTCGTGCTTGTCCTCGTTGGTGCGCGCATCTCCCATGTGGAAGCTGTGCTTCTTCTCCTTGTCGTTCCTCGCAGCTTTGAAGCCTTTGGGGGCTTGGCCTTGCCCAAGAGCAAAGGCCTAGCTTTTTGGGCGGAGGTTCCTTAAGGAGTCCGGTTTCACAGCTGTGTGGACCCCAGCGGCATCGTTTGGTCGCCCAAATGTGCGCTTTCACTGGACAATCCAAAGGACACTCCATTGCTCCCGTCCTCATCCGAGGCCTGGAAAGAACCCCTTCCATGAAACATACCCCCCCACCCAAAGGCCAGGGAGGGGCGCAAGTGGTTTTGGTGCTCTCTCCTGGGGCAGGTTGTACTGAGGATCTTGAAAGGCACGACCAAAACACCGCCCAAGTAGATCGCCCACTGAGCAAGCCCGCTTAGTGCTTAGTCAGCCCCAAGTACCTGCCTCCCAGGTAAGCACCTTTTTGAGTGCGTCACGGTGACAACATATGGCTCTGCCCAAGAGAACATGGGAATATGTCGAGTCTCCTGGCTTTTGTGGTTGTGTCCCTTATGTAGACAAATCCGGCATGTTTGTTTTATCAAACCTCGGTTAGCCAACTCCCACACTTCCATTGAAGTACTGTCAAGGCCATTTTTTGTCTAAACAGGAACAACCCAAGTTTCCGACTTTGAACCCCAGGAACAGTGACCCAACAGGAGCTCTGCTCAAAACACAGGGCACTGGTTGGATGAGGGGAACCCTAACGGAGACCAACAAAACCTAGAGGAGTCATCCCATTCTTAGACACCCCCAGTAGTCTCTAGCTACTGGACCAGACTAAGACAGCCTGCAAAAAGTGAAACTCTTTGCTGGAACGGCAAATAAGGCGGTTGGGGGGATATTCCTCACATAAACCACCATTTGGGGTGAAATCGGTCGTGTGAGGTCGCTATAATTCACCCAGAAAGATGAAGGCAACTCAAAAAACGAAAAGCTTCCGAGAAAGCTTGATCCAGATCCATGTCCAAGCGGCCAGTAGCTGTGCACCGACTGGAGCAGCCCACCCTTGTCATCCCCCAAGGGGTAGGCGAAGAAGACCGGGTGCTCTCCCTTCTTCTCATTGGGCCAGGGCTCGCCGAAGTGGAAGGTGTGCTCCTTGTCCTGCCAGGCGTTGTCTTCCTTGCTTTTGGCCGGGGGGTTCCTCGAGTTGTGGGGTTGTTTTTGGGGATTCCTCGAGTTCAGTCGTTGTGCCTTAAAAAAACATATCTTTATCTCCGAGTTGGTTTGTATTTGTTGGAGTCTCGTCGAGCTTCTTCTTTTTCTGGCGGCGTTTTTCGTTCCAACTTGCTGACATGTTGGGTGGGTTGCTTTCAGGGAACAGGGTTTCGGGGCCTGTTGAGACAGCACATATGTCCAAACGCATTTAAACAAACAAACAAGTCTTGAGCCATCTGAGATTGTCTCCTAATGCCCCAAAACCATGAGTTTCCTGCTATCTGGGCTGAGACCCCAAAGCTTTCAGCTGTTGGGGGGAAATAACATGTTGTTGTTTTTCTTGCTTTTTTTGGGTCTCCCTTTAAACACAGAATCATGGTGCGAAGCGACCATGCAGAGGGTCCTCGTTTTGCCAGGTTCTCAGTTTAACCCTTAAAGCAAGTGTCGGGCTTGTTCTGTTGGGGTACCCTTTTTTAGGTTGCTTCCACGTGGGACAGAAGGGAAACTATTTAGAAGGTCTGCAATGTCAGGTTCAACATGCCATGTTCTACGCTTGGAACTCGTTGCGTTGTACGTTTTACATCCTTTCTTTGAGAAGCCAAGGGATTGCAGATGAGCAGCGCCCAAAGTTGATCCACATTGGCAATGTTGATAGGGAGTTCTACTGCCTGGGTTCACCGGGGATGCGGTACATCCCAAACCTTCATGACTATCTTAGTACCAAACGTCAGCTCGGTTTTTCCTGCTGAGGTGGCACAGGACATTGCCTGTTTTGGGGTAAAAGTTAAAAGAATGGTCGACCCCTGTTGGTTGGTTCTGGCAGGGGGACGGCTCCGGGGTGGTCCGGGGCGGCCCGGACCACCAGGGTTCCACCAAGTTCTGCGAGGGCTGCAGGTTCGGGGTGGTTTGAGGCAAGGTTCCACGGGGGTTCCACACGGTTTCAATTTCTGCGGACGTTCTGCGCTGCGGGGTGATCCACAAAGGTCCTCAGGGCTGCCCCATAGCTATTGCAGAACTTGGTGGAAACCTCGTGGAGAAATTTTGCACACATTTTGCAGCCTTGTGGACTTGGAACCCAAAGCCCGCCAAGTAATACCTGCTGTAGATTGAGTCCCGCAGCAACGTGATCTGATTTGGGACAAAGCCAGCATTTCGGGCTGCGTTGCCTGAGCAAGTGAGCAAGTGCCAACAAATTGAAAGTGTGCTGAAAACTATTGATTTCGGTTTTGCTTAGTGTTCCGCCCATGAGCAAAGCGATCTTCTGAGCCCTCAATTTACTGCTCCACGGAACCTTGCAGAAAACTTCTGGTACCCTTGTGAAAGCTTGTGGAGCCTTGAAGGGTTCCACCAGGCTCGGGTGGGTTCCCTGACCGTTTCAGGGTTCTCGAGGGCAGTGGGACGCAGCGTTAAGGTTTCACAGGTCTCCACACCGCGAATGGGTTGCGAGGTTCAGCAACGTCGGGGGCCATCGCTCCCCGATCCCGCCCGAACTCAGAACACTGTACCAAGCTGGCCGCCTAGTTTTGCGAGATACAGTCGTAAGCCCGCGTTCTAAGGAAAACCGGCGTTGAGCCATAATATGGGTGGCTGGGTTGCATCGGGCCCCGATCGGGCCCCGATTGTGCCGTCGGGCCCCAGGCCCCGATTGCGCCGGGCGCGATTGCGCTGTCACTCTTAGTGCTTTACAAAGTTACACGGCGGCATCCTCAGCAACATTGGAGGTGAGGTGGGCCCCGGGGCGTTCCGCGAAAATTCTGGGAGGGTGCTGTTTCCCCAACAGCTGAAAGCTTTGGGGTCTCCCCTCCGGGGTGGTCCGGGGCAGCCCGGAAGGTTCCACAAATTTTCCACCAATTTCTACCAGGGTTCCACCAAGGTTCCACCCGGTTCTGCAAGGGCGGGGTGGTCTGAGGTTGCAACTTCTGCAAGTTCCACCAGTTTGCGGTAAGGTTTCACGAGACGAGGCTTCCACCAGCATTCCACCAGGGTTCCACCAGGTGCTGGGTGTGTTGTGGAACTCAGCATGAAACTTGTTGTTTTTTTCAGGGCTGCCCCATAGCTTTTGCACAACCTGGTGAAACCTCGTGGAGCGCTTTTGGAACCTTACCCTGCAGCCCTCATCGTGGAATTCTTGGAACCCAAAGCCCAAAGTAACATATGTAGATTGAGTCCCGCAGCAACGTGATCTTATTTGGGACAAAGCCAGCATTTCGGGCCGCGTTGCCTGAGCAAGTGAGCAAGTGCCAAAACAGTGAAAGTGTTAAACTACTGATTTCGGCTTTGCTTAGCGTTCCGCCCACGAGCAAAGCGATCTTCTGAGCCCTCACTTCACTGCTCCACGCAACCTTGCAGAACATTTCTGGAACCTTGTGGAGGCTTGTGGAGCCTTGTGGAGCCTTCTGGAATCCTTGTAAAATCCTCACGGAACTCCGTGGACCCCTGTGAAACTGCAATATGGGTGGCTGGGGACGAGACCGTCGGGCCCCGATCGGGCCCCGATTGCACGATTTCACCGTCGGCCCCGTTCAGGCCCCGATTGCACCGTTCGGCCCCGATCGGGCCCCAAATTGCACCGTCGGGCCCCGATCGGGCCCCGATTGCGCCGTGGCCCCGATCAGGCTCCGATTGCGCTGTCACTCTTGTATAGCTTTGCTTTGTAAAGTTACAAGGCGGCATCCGGCGGTGAGGTGGATCCCGGGGTGTTTCCGCGAGGATTCTGGGAGGGTGTGGTGCTGATATCGCCTGAGCTTATTTTTTTGGGGGGGGTCTCCTAAAAAAAACGACACACACACACACAAACATACACACGCACAAGTCATGCTCGTCAAACCACCGGGAGGACATGTCCAAACCTGGCGACCGAAAGGCGACAGGGTTGACTTTTTTTGCCACCGGGAGAGAGTCCCTGGGAACGTGGTCGAAGCCCTATAGACGCCCCAGTCAAACTAGCGGAAACCTATTTAGACGTGATTCAGCATGGTGAAGCCTGCTCTTGTAGGGGTGCCCCAAACAGTACTGTGCAAGCCCCCCCTTAGATCCTGGCTGAAACCACCCCTCCAAAAAACAGCACGTTCAGGAACCACCCAAAACAACATTGGAGAAAACGAGTCCGACTCGGCGTCCTTGTCGTTCCAGTAGTCAAAAATCGGCTCTGTGCCCTTCACCTCGCACAGGCCCAGGGTATCACACCCTGCTTGCACACCAGCCAACCCTTGGGTTATATGTACAACCGTGTACACTGTGGATGGACGCAATCCGTTCGCACCACTTCGAAACCATGATGGACACCATTGTGTTGCTGGTATTTACATGCGAAATGGATTCTGCAACCATCCACAGTATCACTGTTGCTTTAGCAGCGTCCTCAAGACTACTTCGATTATTTCGTGTTTTCTATTGAAAGGAACAACAATCCACTGGAGCGATGAGACTAACTCCATACCATGGTCTCAAACACAACTGGCTGGTTGAATTAAGCCGCCCATGACCGGTTGACGCTTCGCAATCTACACCTAGTGCCATCGTCGCCATTTCCGCCATCCAGGGTTCAAGCGTTACTGAGGCACGCCACCTGAAGTTTTTGGCAGGAAGACACCTGAGGACCCATTTCACTTTGTCCTCGAGTGTTCAGGTGTGCCAATGAGCGACCCGGAATGCCTTCGGGCGGATTTCTGGGCCGCGTGTACGTTCTTTTGCACACTGTGAGGGTTCGAGTTGCAACGAATTAAGCCAGTTGCGAGCCCAGTTTTGATTGTGCACTACAAGAAAGCAGCAGGGCAACTTCACAAAGGAGCTTGGAGCAGATAATGAAGCTCGAGTTCAAAAAGGGGGAACCGGGGAGCCTTCTAAATGGGTGATTTTCAAATGGGTTCCCTTTAAACCCATCCAAAAAAGGAGAACCCAGAACCAGTCCCAGAACCTCAAAAGAACTTCAGTTCCCGGCCAAAAAAAGACGAGCCTGGCAGGGGAATGCGTAGAAAACCACATCCTTCTTGTCCTCGTTGGGCCAGGCCTCTCCTTGGTGGAAAGTGTGCTCGCCGATGTCCTTGTTCACAAACCTCACTCACGTCTGAATCTTCCCCCTGTCTGGTAAAACATGCCCTCTGAATCCATGTATGGACATAATATTATGTAAATATATATATATATATATATATATATATAGAGAGAGAGACATCTATAAATATATGTACATATGTATATATATATATATCTGTATGGCTGCATTTGGTGGTGTTTAAGGAAACCGCATCAGTATGCCAGCACTTAGATTTCACTTTTGCCCGGTAAATGTGTGTTCATTTTCCATGCCTGGAGTGCTTGGGGCTGGAGGGTCCCTTTCGGAGGAAAACTGATTTCCAGGCCCCCCCCCAGTCAAGATCCACGTTCGTGGATGGCAGGGTAACCTTTTAGGGCAATGGCTGAAACAAGACCAAAACTGGTTTGATCCTCCACCCTGAGCAGGAGGTCTAACTTTTTTCAGCCTTCATGGACAAGTGATTTGCTTCTAAAAGCTCCGAGGGGCTACGGTCACTCCAAAAAACAGCCATGCAAACCGAGGCAACAAAAACATGTACTTGCGTGCAAGAAACTCATGGATAGCAACTGCCATGGCGACGAGAGGCGGCGAGCTTTCCAACTTGAGCAATAATTGCTGCACAACCGAGCTCATCCCCTCCTATCTGTGGGTCGGTCGCTTAGATCTTCTACAGACTCGAAAATACCCACAAAGTGACGGGTTTCCCACCACGAAAGCTTTAGACACCCTCAGCACCCAAGAAAAGCCCTATCCCCCAATACCAATTTCCCAGTTGCCAAGTGACCTGCAAAAAACATGACCCCCTTTCTTGTCGATCATTTTAGTGGGGAACCCACCAAACAAAAAAGGGAAAAAACATCGGTACACCTGAATTGGGATTCTGAAAGGGTGCAAAGACTTCCGCGCGCGCCTCTCGCACGTAGGGCAGGGAGAACTGCCACCTTACGCCCCGAGATCAAAATCCACATGGATGAAACCTGGGTGAAGACCTATGATTTCTGCGCATCTACCAAGCGAATCTGAGCCTCTCTGAGCTCTGGACTTCATGTAGGTAGCTCCCCACGGAAGCTTGTAGAAGCCTTTCCCTTTGGCGATCTTCGGATTCCACCTGCGAGTCAAGTCGCAGAGCACAACGGCTGCCCATGGTCAGGTGAATATAACCCTTATACAAAAGTGGGCCATCCCCGAGACCCGCCAAACCGACTCGCTCGCTTTTACATCGCGTTCCCGAAGGCCCCCGACTTTGCGCCTCACAGTGTTCCTCGGGTGCGTGTTCCACTTCTGCTTGGGCGACAAGGCCACCAATGACCGGACTCAGTCGACGTGGCAGCTCAAACGCTCAGCTCTGAAGGGTAACACGTGTGGATTGCGCTCTAAAAATTGAGCAGAAGCCCATTTCAATATTTCAATGGGTGGGTTCTCCACTCAGAGCAGAGTTCCCTCGAGGCCGCGGCACATGGCGTCGCGAGAAGCGAGGTCGTTTTGCTGAGGCTCGGTGCCCTCTTTGTTGTGGCTTCAAAGGGACACCACTGTTTTGGGGCGTCCCACAACCATATCTGGGATGCTAAATCGGTATCCGAAAATCATGAAAACGATCGCCCGCCTCGGTCCTTTGGTTTGCTTTGGGGTACATGAGCTATTTGGCATCGTGACCCGCCTTTGGTTTCCTCTTGATAATATTGGCAGACATGCACCCAAAGATTAGGCTGCTCCTCAGCGATGTCGCGCTTCGACACGGAATGAGCTTCCATTGAAAGGGAGCCCTTCCTGGACAGGAATACACGGACATCGCTTGCACGCATTTTTGGTGAGCCTGCATCCAAGTAAAGCTGGTTGGCCATCCAAAAGAAGCAAGACTCGGTTTTGCTGTTCGACCTAACAAATGGGCAACTCTCCGTGTCGTAATTGCAGGGAGCCCGTTAAAATTTATCACCTGTGGCTGGGTCCCTTATCCTTACGCCCGCAACTTCTCCGTGGCTGTGAGCCAAAGCGCAAAGAGCGAGCGCGAAGATGTCTCGGGTTTGGCCACTGGATCCAAATCGATGTGTTTCCTTCCGATTCCCCGTTCAAGCCCAACCCACGAGCAGACACTTCCAAATTCCACAGGTACTCGCAAAAACAAGTGTCAAGCCTGGCATAAAAGTGGACTCAGATTTCCCAGAATCATGTAAAGAGTTGGAAGGACGGATGTCCGAACCTATTTCTAAGTGCTTAATTTTGCTCTACTTCCACACGCTCATGTAAAATAAAACAAAAACCAAGTAAATTGAACCTTTCTCATGGCTTTCGAGCTCGTTACACCCCTTCTGGTGATCTTGCCATGGAACAAAATCGGAGGATTTCGCTGGCTCCGGCCCAGCGACGCCTCTGGATGGCGGACGGCCTCAAGACGGAGATCGCTCCGGCCAAGTGCCTTGTGCCTTCAAAGGGACAGTTCAAACATATTCAGAGTTAACTGCTCTAAATTCTAAATATGTCTGGTTGTATTTTAATATTCTAAAATTTGTCCAGTTTTATTGTAATATTCTGCTGGCAAATGTTGAACACATGCACAAACTGTGTGTGTATTGCAAACGACCCACTGGCTCTGACACATATTTTGCCCCATGAGGCCCGCACTGAAAGGCTTTCCCCGCACGTCCAACGGCACCTCGCTTTCCGGACCTCGAAGAGCGATGGGAAAAAAGCCATCGACTGCCAAGCCACAGGCGTGGGCGTGGACGTGTCTTGATGCGTGCTTCTCATCTTCGCATCCCTGCACAAAGCCTTTGGCGCAAGGTTCCTGGTAGTACCTTGCGCACAAGTTGGCCTTGATGTTGGCCGCGACGATATGACACTTGGACCCACCGACCCAAAAAGCGCCGAAGGAACGTGTACCGAACAAACAAGCCAAGGGCAATTTCGCGGGAAGCTGAACCAAGCCGTTTCAAGAGGAGTTGCCGTCTCCATAACCGTTTCAAAGGCCGAAGAGCCAGCGACGGGCCCAGGGCCCCTTGGGATCCGGCGGCTGAAGCTCTGCGACCTGACGGCGAAGGGTGGGGTTGGGGGTCTGATGGGTAGCACCCCGCCTCCATTTTTGTGGGGTTTAAAGGGAAGCCAAAAGGAAAGTTTAAGGGGTCCCCGAAAAAGACACACCCAAATCGCCCAAACGGGTGGATGGACCCACACCATGGACAAGAAAGAAAGCCATGGATCCAGCCGGGAGAGCTACCTCAGCTGTCTCTCCGGGGACCCTTTTGGTTGGGAGTCTAAAAAGCAGGACATCCTTTTACTTGTGGAGTCATGCCCACGTTCTTGCAAACGAATTCCATCTTACACCACCACAGATTCGGGGCTGTTCCAAGTCCACATGTTCGGAACCTTTCGTCCAAGTTGGAAAGATAAAGGATTGCCTTTGAACAGTGTTCAACTGCATCACACATTTCTTGCAAGTGCAAAAGGCACGGGCGCGCCAAACCATTTAGCGTTAGCAACATGAAAGTCCCAGTGTCCATCTGCAAGACTTCTGGGGAGGGTGTGGAAGGTGTGAGCAGGTAGAGGGTGTCCATTTTTTGATGGCCCTCGTTTTGCCAGCAAGGAATCCTGTTTTTGTCAGACATTCGCACATCACGCATAACGGTGCCCCATCTATATGTTCCCTTTATTTGAGGGCACGGTTGCTCAACCAGGCGGGAAACCAGTAGGTGCTGAAACAGCCTTCAAACGAAAGGCTGTTCAAAAAGAGAAGCAGAGGTTGTTCAAACAATCGCGTGGCTCAAACGTGTGAAAAGTCGCCCCCCCCCCCCCCCGCCCCACCCAAAACCGAAAAACAAAGGCGTCGAAACCCACGCCTCGAGGCTGAAAAGCTGAAGGATCCTGGCAGAACCGAACCAGTTCCGGGTCGAAAGCCTCCAAACGGCGAATTTCGCAAAACAAACACCATGGGAAATTGGGTCTCGAACAAATGGACTGGCACCCTCCAAAAACCAATGGATGAATGAAGCTACCCGGACCCTCGCTTAAGGCATCCAAGCCTCGGGTCGATGTGGAGTCTGCCTGGGTCCGAAAGTCCGAAGCCAATGCTTTGTGCCTAGTCATGGGTACACATAACTTATGGCCTGGAGAGCACTTCCAGTCGGGTATGACTTGTGGCCCAAACTGACGCTTGTCGAACCTGACATTCATGTCACCTTCAAGGTGTTTCCAATGCAGCAGGTAACCAAGGAAATAAAATAAGTTCAGGTGATATCCCCAAGCATACTTTTTAGACAAACCTTATCTGGACTGAGACCCCTTATCTTTCAGCTGTTGGGGACTATACAAAGCAACCGCCAGATACCTCTAGACCAGTTACCGCTAGACCAGGTAACCCTTCGCGCTTCTTGCCTCTAGGTTTGACATGATGGTTCACCTGGTTACCTACCCTAACATGGCTTTGTAGGGTGGTCAAAGCTCCCTATGTTAGTCATAAGTCATAGTCCAACTGCCTGCCAGATAAAAGGCCAGGATAGATGTATACGTCCACAAGATTACAGTGTCCATCTCACAAGAACTGTTGTGTGGCTTCCCAATTGTGGATACAAGACCAAGATGGTTTCCACTGCCCCAAACACACGATCCAGGGCTTCGTGCGATATACACAAAATACATGTCCGCAAACCGTTTTGCTCTGGGGAAGTGGAAACCATCTGAGAGCTTCGGCTCGGACGAACAATTCTACGGCTCCGACCCTGCCACGAGGGTTCGCCGAGGAAGGACGCTCTCCTTGGCTGAGTCCACTTCGGGGTGTCCTTCTTTTTTAAGATTGGATCCCTCTAACACAACACCATGGACGAAATGTCCCAGTCAAAAGCCTTGCATAGGCGCAGGCTTCAACCCACAGGTCGCCCTTTGGGGAAGCCATGGATTGCAAGCACCAACAGAAATCGGCACTCATCTCGAAGGCATCTTGGGACCTTGTCCCCAACAAAAACAATGCCCAAATCAGGCAAAGCAAACCCGCTTTCGCTACTTCCGGCTCCAGAACGCAGCACAAACACAACAACATTCAAGGGCTAACTATCGGGCATGAATTCATATGATTTCCCTGCTGCATTGCGGTTTGAAAGGATCCTTTACTCGAGGTACGGGTTCCTAGGAAGTGGGGATCTGCAGCTTTTTTCCTTGCCCCCTCTGCTGCGGAGCGTCGTGGCTTTGGCGTCGTCGTGGAATCACTGGGCATGGCGAGTGATCGCACTGAAACAAAGAACCAGAACATATTCTGGATGGACAAAACCCACTTTGGTAGGTCGTTCATGCCAGTGTGTGTAACCACCCTAAGTCTCATGGCCCCAATGCAGGGCCCCGGGGGCCTCCAAAGAACCCGGACCAATTCCTCAAGGGCCCTCAAAAACAGCCCATTTGGAGGGCCCAAAAACAATCGGGAGCCTTAGGGCAGGACATATTCTGGATGGACAAAACGCGCCAGTTGGTAGGTCGTTCATGCCAGTGTGTGTAGCATTCATCCCAACTGGTGCGGGCCCATTCGCAGGCGGGAGCGTCTGATGGGAGGAACTCCTTTGTCAAAGGTTGATTGGCTCGTGACAGGAATCCAT